TGAAATGGAAGGTAGAGGTTTGAAAGCTGATATGATCACGTATAATATTTTGATTAGTGCATGGTGTGAGAAAAGGGAGTCGAAAAAGGCAGCACGACTCATCGATGAGATGCTCGATAGGGGATTACGACCAAGTCATTTGACGTTTAACATTTTGTTGAATGGATATTGTACAGAAGGAAACTTAAGGGCTGCTTTGAATGTGAGGAAACAAATGGAGAAAGAAGGAAGGTGGGCTAACGTGGTGACGTATAATGTGTTGATTCAAGGTTATTGTAGAAAAGGGAAAATGGAGGTTGCAAATGGACTTCTTAACGAGATGCTCGAGAAGGGATTGATACCTAACCGAACTACTTACGAGATAGTTAGAGAGGAAATGATGGAGAAAGGATTTCTACCTGATATCGAAGGTCATCTTTATCAAGTCTCCCGTTAGACGTTAATCAACAACGTTGCAACTTTACGGGTGGAACGAGATGTACAAACTCATATGTCGCTGATCAGGCCGGCATGATCGGAGCAAGAGGGCATTTCGAGGTAACTAATATATCCTTAATCTATACCATTTGAGAGCTTGTCAATTCTTGTGCTGGTTCTGATATTCCTTCTCCATTGTTTACATTCTAATGCTTCATGGGCACAATAGCATTGTTTACCTTACCTTCCACACCATTTTATGTCACTGTTTTGATTACTGTATGTTTCTTTTTCGGTCGTTGTTGCAGGATTGATGATCATCTGTAAGCCCGATTTGCAATGAATATCTGAATTCATTGGTTCGTTTTCTTGCGTTTCGATGCACTCTGGTTTTACTTTAAGATCAGACCTTGTAATGGTGCTGAAAAACATTCATCTTGTGTCTTATACCGAGCGACCTTCACTTCGCTTCCAATGATGATGATTTGACTATTTAAGCTCTATGCTACTCGTCCGACTCGTTCAGAAGAAAGCAGCAACTTTGAGAAACAGGATACAAATATTCTGCAATCTCGACTTGATCACAAACACTCATCTCCTTATTTGTGTCGCGGTAGGCTCGTTTAGACCTTCATTTGGTGATTCCATCTCCTGCTTCGTACTACTTGTGGTAGATTGTTGATGTTCGAGTCAGAAGCAATTTATATATCATCCACAATATGCTGTTGGCAGACGTTGAATTTTTATGCAAACGTTGCTACGAGAGGGTCGGTCAATAGCTAGTCTCTTTCGTTCCCGGGTTTCTTTTTAGTCCCTAACTTTTCAAGTTTGGAAGCTTTGAAAGTTTAGAGTGAAAATTCCTCATAGGTTTTATGCTACTTTGCATGCTATAGAAGCAAGTTGTTTCTGAATCTAAATGTATCACTTTATTCCAACTCTATATATATATATATATATATATATATATATATATACACACACATACAAAAAGAAGGATATTCAGTCATATTTTTGGCCCTTTGTTCGTTGTATTTTATTTTATAACAATTTAATTCATCAATTGTATTTTTGAAATATGAGGAAAAAACAAAATATTAACTATGAACTATTTTTATCGAAAACCTTTTTTTTTTTTTTTTTTTTAGTTTAAGGGTATTATTAAAAATTTTGAATTTCATGATCAGAGAAAAAAAAGAATGAATCTTGTAGGATTCCCGAGAAATTCTTTGATTTCTTTCTGAAGCGGATGAATAGAATGTCTAGAAAAACATTTAGGGAATCGGTCTAATTCTATCTCTGTTTGAAGAAAGAAAGGATGATATTCCGAATCCTGGTTACTAATGAAATCAAAATGATATCGGGATTGATAAGAAAATCTTTCGATTTATTAGAATAAATATTTTTTTAGAGTAACCGAGTATTTTTATTAATTATTTAGCTGTTTAGGGAATATAGTGATTTAAAATAATAATAATAATAAAACAAAATTTCCAACAAATTAATTAAAACAAAATCCAACGGGCAACGGGTCAAAGAAGCAAATCACACTTGGCTTTAATCCGAGTCTTTCACATTTCCATCTTCGGAAGCTTCTTTCATTTCTTATGTCTCTTCCACATGTTTGAGATTTCCTTGCCAAATTCGCATCAAATTACCATTTTCCTTCCGAGAGTCGAATTGACTAGAGAGAATTTCTGTAATTAGTGCCTTGTTCCACTCGTGAGCCTCAGGAATTTCCATGGATTTCGATTTTGATTTCGATTTCGATTTTGGGAAGAAGCGCCTCCAAGTTCTGGTATTCATCATCGGCATCATCTCCCTTAGTTTCACAGGTACGTTTGATTTGGATTGCATTTCTGATATAAATCTGTTGAAACGTAGTTGAATCAAGGATTCAAGATGCGAGTATCATAATTATTTCGCTGTTCGGAATTTGATTTTGTTTGTTTCCAGAGAAAGTAGAGAATGACGAAGGAAGAAAGATCAGAAAATCATCGTGTTTCTGTGATGGAGTTTAGTTTATTGCAAGATCTCGAAGAAGTGAAACTAGCTGTTATCTCGTTTATGGTTGCTGGTTTCTGGTTTATGCATCGAATTAAAATCTGTGAAGTTTTGTGCTGATTTTGCTTGAATTTATCATAGATTTGATTTGGTCAAATCATATATTACATCTAGAACAAGTTTTGGACTGATGTTCCTTTTCATTTCTATCTCTACAAACATCCCAAGATGTGTAGAAAGGGAAAAAAAATTTATATTCAACTTAGAATCTGTTTGGAAAATTTTCTATAAAAGAACTTATAATTCAGAACCACTCTCAAATTTAGAAGTTCAAGGAGAAATTAGAGGGAAAACATTTAAATCTCCATCTTGTGATACATATTTCTTTGCCTATTGACAATGATCATTGAATTCCCAAAGTGTTCAACGCATTCTAATGTTGATCTTGAAGAGGAATTTGGTATTATGTTGAGAATCAAAAATTAAGTATTCAAATGATTGAAGGTTTTTATGTCTTGAATGTAGGTTTTGTTTAGTAAACTGAATCTTATCGTTACATATATGTTTGATCATATCATTACATCTATGTTTGATCCTTAGTTTTTGACATTGTTGTATTTAGAGTTGCTTATGTTCGTGTTTTAAAAAAATATTATAGCGGAGAAATGTCGACATCTGGTCGGGGAGGAAGCTTCATCCCAGAGTGGAAAGTTCACATTCTTGAATTGTCTTGACATGGGTTCTGGGTCTGTTGCTTGTGGTGTGAAGGAGGGGGTGAAGCTCTACTTCTACAACATCCAATCGGCCCATGTTGAGAGGGCACGACTCAAAGCCCTCGAGATGACATTGGCCGATGCAGTAGCGCAGGGAATGTCTGCAAAAGAAGCAGCAAAACACGCACAAAAAGAGGGAGTCAAGGCAGCAAAGCTGGCAAAGAGACAAGCGAAACGCATCATCGGGCCGATCATCTCTTCTGGATGGGATTTTTTCGAAGCGTTATACTATGGTGGTTCAGTCACAGAAGGCTTCCTCAGGGGCTCAGGGACACTTTTTGGTGTCTATGGGGGCGGTTTCATTGGCGAGCAAAGGCTCGGGAGGTTCGGGTACCTTGTAGGAAGTCATTTAGGTAGCTGGGTTGGAGGTAGAATAGGACTCATGGTATATGATGTTGTCAATGGACTGCATTTCCTGCTCAATTTTGTTGAAGGTGAAGAAGAAAGTTTAGTCCATGAAAAGGCAGCTTACTTCGAAAACGAAGCTTCGGACGACTCCCTTGTTAATGAAGCTCCTATTTCCACGATCTCCGAAGGTTCTGAAGAATGATACAACTATGAATCTTCGCCGTCTGATGGTTCTGTAGATTATGAAAACTCTGAGTCTAGGTGACGTAATTTTCTCTATAGTTGGTTGAATTAGAATCAAGAATGTGAGAAAAATAGGGTTCGCTTGCTTTACAAACACATTTTTAGATGTTCTTTCATGCTCATGAACGTAGAAAACTGTTATTTCAAGACACTCCAATTTCAGAAGGTTTTCTTCATGTGACTGTGGGATGTAACTTAGAAAACCTCATGGGAATTGGAAATTTATAGAAAACTTGATACTCTTGAACTGATCCGTTGTACTTTCTTTGACCACTTTTAAGGTAGGATTGAAACATTTTTGTTGTGGTAGAGAGTAGAGAGTGAAAACACCAACACAGCGGAGGACGACTACATGAATCATAATCCACAACGATAAAGTCAAACGACCGAGAAAGAAATAGTCCATGTTGTCCAAGTGGTTGATCTTAAATTTATAAGCTCAATGATCAAATAAATATTTTAAAGTTTAAGGACTGAAGTTATAATTTAACCGTGTGAATTTGAAGTATTTTCTTGTCGAGTAAGATTAAGTTATGTGTTTACGAGTATCTACCATTATACCCGCAATGATTTGACATATTATTGTCAACTTTGATGAAAAAATCACGGGTTAGAAATGTTTACATTATATATCAAATTTTCAAAATTTAAATAATACTTTTTTTTCATAAAGGTTTTCTTTCTTCTTCTTTTTCGATTTTTTTAGAGTAATACTATATATATATATATATATATATATATATATATATATATATATATATATATATATATATGGAAACCTCCCGGGAAAGTCAAAGAGGACAATATCTACTAACGGTGGATATGGGTTGTCTCAAATGGTATTAGAGCCAGATACTGGACGATGTGCCAACCTTCTCACTCTTCCGTGAATGGATAGACACAAGGTGGTGTGCCAGTAAGAACGCTGGGTCCCGAAGGGGATGAATTGTAATGTCCCATATTGAACAAAATACCATTTATAAGGGTGTGGAAATCTTGTCTAGTGCGTTTTAAAGTGGAAAAAACAAATAAAAAAAAAAAAGAAAAAAGAAAAAGACACAAAATTGAATTTAAATAAAAGAAACGCGCGATGAGCACGCGCCAAGACAAAGAGAGCTCAGCTGGCTAGACGATTGGCCAAGTGGCGAGCACGCGCCATTACGCCATTACAGTGAAACGCCAAATTCACAGCCGAGCCAATCCAATTCCCAATCCCCAATTCCCCAAATCCAAATCCAAATCCAAACCCTTTTCCTCTCTCGCTCACTCCCCCACCCACATCGCTAGCGGCTCTGCTCAAAGCCTCTTTTCTTTTCGTTCTTCAACTCAATCTCTCCCCCTCTCTCGCTCTCTCGGCTTTGATCCGGCTCAGATCTATCTTGCGCCGCTCCACTCTTCTCCTCCCTTCCCTCCCATCTCTTCCAAATCCTTTGATCACACCGATTTTCAGCTTTCCGACGAACCCAAATCGTCTAATATGTCACTCAATCTTCCTGTTTTGTCTCCTCCAATGGTGGGGTTGAGCTTTTGTTCGAGTTGCTAAATGGGTTTCTGTTTCTTTGGCTGTCTTTTCGGAAGACCCTTTGTCGGGATCGCGTTTTTGACAATTGGGATCGCGGTGGAATAAGCGACAGAAGTGTTTATGTTTCAGCTTTCAGTTCCATGTATTTCGGGTAAGTTGTCGATTTTCAGCTGCTGAGATGTTTTGTTTTTATGTTCTTTTTTGGTTTTTGCTGTTCTAGTTTCTAATGGTTAGAGAGTTGGCTAGAATAAGGACTTAAATCCTCTGTAAATACTTGGGATAAGGCTGTATGATGCTTTTTCATCAATAAATATTGTGTTTCCTTGGAGTTTTTACTCCAATTTTGGTACTGGAGCACCCTTTTCTGAAGAGACCAATGGCTTTGAGTGATGACACAGTTCAATCCGGTTTAGGATCTTTTAGTCTTTCCCCTGAATTCTTGACTCAATGCATGCTATTGGTGGAGGATTCAATGGAAGGAATGAAGGGCAGTTCGTGTTATTTGCATCAGATTATTGGAACCATTGCACACCAAATGGAAGAGCTCACATACACCAAAACAATCAACAAGGCTTTTGGGAAGGAAATCACACCAATCCACACTATGAATGGCAGACACAACCTATGGCAAGAGGAGTCCAAGAACCAAGACTCCTTCATCATGAACGTGTAAGAATAGTTCCTGCTGAAAACGGAGCGATTGAAGACCCAAGATTTCAAGAATTCGATAGTTCAGGTGTAACAGCCCAAGCTCATTGCTAGCAGATATGGTCCTTTTTGGGCTTTTCCTTTCCATAGTAGACGTGTTTTAAAAACCTTGAGGGGAAGTCTGAAAGGGAAAGCCCAAAGAGGACAATATCTACTAGCGGTGGGCTTAGGCTGTTACATCAAGTGTGGAAGAAGACTATTCACCCCAACAACCTACTTTCGGTTTTCAACAATGTTGAAGGCTTGAGGTCCGAATCTCAACCAGCCACAACTTGGAAAGCAAGATTTTCAAATGAAAAGAGATCCTCAAGCATTCAATGGAAGAGCTAACCAACCTTCAAACAGCTAGAAATACTAACAGAAAGTAAATTTAAAAAGTACTGAATGTTAAAGGCCAAACTTCTCAGCCAAAAGACTTAAATAGCCATTTGAAGGCCAATCGATAATCCAAAATTACAGCAGAAGGCAATATATCTACTAGATTCATGCATTAGTGAAATAAGTGATTTCTTTATATAGTAAATGGGTTAATATTTGACTCTTCTTTTTTACCTCCCTTTCTTGATTTTATTTTTTGGTGTTAGAACAGGGACTGTTAGTGGGGAGGTGGGAAACCAAATGGACTGGAGTGTGAATAATGCATTTAAAACATTTAAAGGTAACATTATATGCTTATGTATGATGCATACGGTTCTTTTGTGTATTGCTTGGAAGAGTGTATGTACTTTGCTCAATGGTCTTGTTTGTGTACTGCTTCTTTCGATGTTGGTTCCGTGCAACGAAGGTGTTCATTTTAATGATTTTAGCCTTTCTTTGTGTTGCTGCAAGTAGATTTGGAATCCAAGTCCGTGATGGATATGTCACTCATTCCAACCATTGACCCAATCGATATTGGTTTGGGCTCATCCGACAAGGGGAGCCCGAATCCTTCAGCAAAACCAAGAAAAAAGACCATGACATCGGTTTATCTCAAATTTTTCGAGACTGCTGCTGATGGGAAAAGCAGAAGATGCAAGTTTTGTGGACAGAGCTACTCCATTGCAACAGCTACTGGTAATTTTGATACTATTTCTTGGTTGATTATGTTAATCTGCAATTTAGTGAGGAGCAATAGAGCTTCTTACATTGGTATTGTTAACTTTTTGTGCAAAACACGATGCCGAGATGGACTTATTGTTTTCGTTTCCTTAACTGGTTGCGTCTGCTTAGTGTTGAGCTTTGATGTATGTTTCTACACGTGCCTGTATGTCGTTTCTTTGGTGACGAAACGTTCTTTTCATTGGAACAGGAAATTTGGGACGACACCTAAGTAATCGGCATCCAGGTTATGACAAGTCTGGTGATATTGTGAGTAATCCAGCACCACAGCCTATCACCATAATCAAGAAGTCTCAACCTCAAGGGAAACAGCAACAGATTGATTATGATCATTTAAATTGGTTGATAATTAAGTGGCTTATCTTATCGTCTCTCCCTCCTTCGACCTTGGAAGAAAAATGGCTGATCAACTCGTATAAGTTTCTCAATCCATCTATTCAACTATGGCCTGCCGAAAAGTACAAAGCGGTTTTTCGGGAAGTTTTTAGAAGCATGCAGGAAGATGTAAGAGCCTCTTTGGAACACGTTTCATCTAAGATCTCAGTTACTCTCGATTTTTGGAATTCCTACGATCAAATTTCTTTTATGAGCATTACATGCCAATGGATTGATGAAAACTGGTCCTTCCAAAAGGCGCTTCTCGATATCTCTCACATACCCTATCCCTGTGGAGGCGTTGAGATCTTTCACTCTCTTGTTAAAGTTCTTAAGAAGTTTAACATAGAAAATAGAATCCTTTCTTGTACTCATGATAGTAGCCAAGACGCCATGCATGCCTGTCATGCTTTGAAAGAGCATTTGGATGGTCAGAAAGTTGGGCCTTTCTTTTATATTCCTTGTGCTGCTCGTACTCTAAACGTGATCATAGACGATGGATTAAGAACCACGAAATCAATAATTGCAAAAGTTCGGGAGTTCATACTAGAATTGAATGCCTGCTTGGATATCTCTGAGGATTTTGTTCAGTTTACTACAGTTTATCAAGAAGGTAACTGGAAATTTCCACTTGATGCTTCAGCAAGATGGAGTGGAAATTATCAGATGCTCAATCTAGTATGCAAGGTAATTACTTTTTCATCATGCAGAAATAATTTCCTTGAAGCGTAGTTTATCCGTCATGTTTTTATGCTTTCATACATACGTAAATCTGTCGTAGATGGGAGAGAGACGAAGAATGGCCGTCTCCTCTCTCACTAAATCCATTCTGAACAGAACTAAGAAACTGCATTGTCTAGTTTCTAGCCTGGATGAAATAACCATGATCAGCTTGTACGAAACTTTTCCTTCCATGTAACTTGAACGTGCATACCGCACACGTCTCTGCTATTTTGTAAGCTCGTTGAACGTTTTCCAACAAAAAATTGAACATTTGTCTGAGTGTCCAAATGAAATTAAGTGCTGCCTAGAATTTGTTGGTTTCTAATTTGTGGACTCGATCTGATATGAACTGGCATGAACTGATATGAACTGCCTTAGGCTCCCTCAAAGGAATAGTATGAGCTACTGATGTTTTCCTAATCATATGATATACTATTCGTTCAACTAAGTTTATGTGAAGTTTTTGTTCATTTGTAGGCAGGGAAATCCATGGAAGCTGTTATAAGGAAGTACGAGGAAACACTTGGCAGTAAGATGCTTTTGAACTCTACAGAGAAGAACGTAGTTAATATTGTTCATCAATATTTAGAACCCTTTTATAAAACCACAAACAACATATGCACAAATAAGGTTCCAACTGTTGGGCTGGTTCTGTTTTTCATGGATCACATCTCCGAGACTATCGCTGCGTGTCGAGATTCTCGACACAACCCCGACTGGCTAAAGAGCGCTGCAGAAGACATGGCTAAGAAAGCAAAACATTACAGTCATCTTGTTTGCAACATTTACACATACATGACTGCAATTCTTGATCCTAGAATCAAAGGAGACTTGATTCCAGAGAGTCTTAACTCAGGGAATCATTTGGAGGAAGCCAGATCCCATTTCATGAGATATTATTCTTCCAACCATTTTCCATCAATACCCAGTAGCTATACTGCTCAAGAGATTGAAGATGGAGGAAGTGTCTCTTTCGCTGAGGAAATTGCTCGAAAAAAGCGAAGAGCAAGCATGAGCAACACGACGGATGAGCTAACGCAGTATTTATCGGAGCCTCCGGCTCCAATATCAACAGATGTCCTAGAGTGGTGGAAAGTTAACAGTACACGTTATCCACGGCTCTCTGTTATGGCTCGAGACTTCTTGGCCGTGCAGGCGACTTCATTGGCTCCTGAAGAACTGTTTTGTGGGAGAGGCGACGATATCGATAAACAAAGATATTGTATGCCTCATGATAGCACACCAGCTCTGTTTTGTATCAAATCATGGATTCAAAGTGGATTCAAGTTGAAATACAAGTCTAGTGAGATTGATTATGAGAGATTGATGGAACTGGCTTCCACATCAACCATTGATAGCAGTACTGGTGGTTCAGACAAGAAATCAAAATGATTATTACAAAGCTATGTTGGAGCTTCTTGAGGTCAGTTCAAACTTAGAATCCTTGAAAGACTGACATTTTATGGCTTATTATACCCTTTGGATCATGTGTAGAATTAATACATCTTGTTGTATTGTATGCTTTCTTCTTGTTAATGTACAGCATATGTTGATGGCAATGCTAACTGACCGAGTAGACAGATTAGTGTTCTTGTGATGTTTTATGATTATAGAAAAAAGTATTTGATCTTCATGATACACATGATGTGTCCTACCATCCATATTTAATACTTTTGCTTTTACTGTGTTTAAGTTATCATCGAGATCGCGAACGTAAGTTTAGAATTAATAAGGGTTCGTAGAGCGAAGGGAGTGCACAATAGGGGCGCAACCTCTCACTTTTTTATTTGTTACGAGGGAGATCTTGAATGGAGTTCTTCACGTAGGTAGAAAGAAATGAATAAAAACGAGTTTCTCTATGGCCTCCTTGTTTTGAGACATTATGGCTTTGGGGTTGATCCGAGTAAGATAGAAGGTGCCCCGATTCAAATAATCATTTATTTGGTACTTTCGGAGGAGTAGAACTGCCATTTTAGCAGGTCAAAACAAAAGTTTGATTAGAGATATTGTGGTATACATAAGTAGACGTAGCCACATCAATCTTTTTAGTGCATCATCAACATGTAGAACATCATCAAGACAGGTAAAAACGGCGTGCGATTGGGGGTGGGGGAAGGGGGTGGTGCATCATCAAAATTTATAATAGTGTAACGGCCCAAGTACACCGCTAGCAGGTATTGCCTCTTTGGGCTTTCACTTTTGGGGTTCCCCTCAATGTTTTTAAAACGCGTCTATTGAGAGAGGTTTTCATACTTTTATAAAGAATGTTTCATTCTCTTCCCCAACTACCCCCTTTAGAGCCTAATGTCCTTGCTGGCACACCACATTGTGTCCACCTCCTTTGGGGTCAGGTATCGTTGCTGGCATATCGCCTAATGTCCACCCACCTTCGAGGCCCAGTCTTCTCATTGGTGCATCGCCCTATGTCTGACTCTAATACCATTTGTAATGGCCCAAGTCCACCTCTAGCAGATATTGTCCTGAATATTTCGTCCTCTTCCCCAATCAATGTTCCCCAATCAATGTGGGATCTCACAAATAAGTGACATCGTAGTCCTATAAGAAAGTAGACATACCATACCAACTTTCAGTGCATCATCATCATGCAGAACATAACAAGTCGAAACAAACGTTCAATTAGATGCATCACAATACATACAAGTAGATATAGCTCCGTGCATCATGAGCATCTAGAACACAGCGGGTTAAAACAAAATACGATATGATTACTTTGTGGGGTCGGTTTCGGTTTCGATATTCTTCTTTGAGGCCAAGTTCTTGGTGGGCATGGGAAGAAGCAAGACATGCAAACATGTGTGGTGAGCACATGGTGGCATGCAATGCACACACTTAGATTTATAAATCACTCCCCACTTTGGCTTTGAAAGGCTAATGGCCGTTCAAAAGGCCAAACTTTTGAGATACAAATAACAACGATCAAAAGAAAGGCAATGGAACCCTCACTTTTGCTCCACCATCAAAGTGTATAACCCATCATTGAATCACAATCCATTATTATTTTTTTTAAAATGGTTTCAATTATTGTCTTTTTATGGGATTTGATTCATATGGTTAATTTTTTATTTTTTTGAGAAATATTTTATCTTTAAACTTTAAAAAATAAACGTCTATTACATTTTCGACAAATTCAATTTGATTTTTATATAAAATTTTGACCGAAGAGGAGAATAAAACATTATTTATAAGGACTAATTTGTAATTTTGAAAGTTTGGAGATTAAATAGACACAAAACTGACTGGTGTCTCGGGTTTTATATACAAATTTAAATTCGTAAATTTTGAAAAAAATCGAAGTTCATGGACTAATATGTAATTTTTAAAATTTAGGAGGTCGAGAAATATAAATATAGAATAAGACAAAAATGTATGAGACAAAAAAAAAAAAATGTAAAAATTAATAAATTAAATTAAAGAAATTAAATAGAAATTATAAAAAAAAAACAAAAATTAGAGATAAATAATGATAAAAAGGGAAAAGTTCTTAAAAAAAAAATAAAAATAATATCTCTCATAACAAATTACTTAAATGGGCAATTTTGTAATTTCAACTTTCTCTCGAAAGTTTTCGCGGCAACTCCGGAATCTCGATCAATTTAATTACGATAAATTTTTGTTATTAGCTAATTCAAACGCTTTAAGTATCTCTCGGGTTGAGCTAGAAGAGGGGTAATCGCTGTAAACCACTCGATAATGAAAAAGACAAAGTTATTATTATTTAAGAATGAATTAATTAAAATTTATATGGATATTGGAGGATTAATAATGATTTAATTAAGATTAATACTAATCATAATCAAATCTAAATTAGGAATGTCGACATAACACACTATATTCTTCCATATATAAATAACACATGCAACCTCTACCATTTTAGGAAACCTAATTATAATATATAAGGACAATTTGGTCTTTTCGCAAATATTTTAATTCAAACTCTTTTATATTTTTTTTATTCACATGATTTAAAATATATATTTCAAATCTCTTAGGTAAACTAATTATATAAAGATAGTTAAAATAAATTCTCCAGCCTTTTTTTTTAATAATAATAATCTTTTTTCAAAAAATTAAAATAAAAAAATGATGGTATAATTTATCATAAAAAAAATATATTTAATATTTTGTAAATGGGTGACGTGGAAAACTTGAATTTATTGTTAATTTTTTAAAATAAATAATTCAAAATATATATTGAAAAATTAAATTGGTTGAGTCGGGTTGAGTTAATTAGGGTTTACCACTCGAGAAATGTCTTAACTCGACCCAAATCTTATACCGGAAAATAAATAGTTTTATGGTTGAATCAGGTTGAATTAATTAGGGTTTACAACTCTAAATGTTTTAACCCGACTTGACTCGACCAAACTTATAAACTCAAATCTTATACCGAAAAATAAACCGTTTTATGGGTTTACAACTCTAAATGTCTCAACCCGACTTGACTCGACCAAATTTATAAACTCAAATCTTATACCGAAAAATAAACAGTTTTATGGTTGAATCAGGTTGAATTAATTAGGGTTTACAATCCGAGAAATGTCTTAACCTAACCCGATTCGACCCAACTTACGAACCCAAATCTTATACCGAAAAATAACAGTTTTATGGTTGAATCGAGTTGAGTTAATTAGGGTTTACAACTCGAAAACTGTCTTAACCGGACCCCACCGGACCCAACTTATGAACCCATAAACCTTTTCACCTATAAAAGGAACTCCATTGTTGAAGACTTGACCAACAAAGTCTCTTCCTTTTCTTCTTCTTTCAACTATCACCATGTGTTGCGACGGCGAAGGGCTCCTTTTGGTCCAAAAGGTCTCAGAACTTTACCACAAAATCTCCACTCTCCAAAGCCTCCAACCCTCCAAACATGTCAACTCCCTCTTCTCCCAGCTCGTCCTCACCTGCACCCCTCCGCCGCCTCCTCCACCGTCTCCGCCGCTCATCGACATCTCCAAGCTCAGCTCGACGGTCCAAACCATGAGATCCCATCTCATCAAGCTCTGCGGCCAAGCCGAGGGCTTACTCGAGCACCATTACTCGACTATCTTAGCCTCCCACCAGAACCCTCTTGACCATCTCTCCCTTTTCCCTTACTACTCCAACTACCTCAAACTAACCCATCTCGAATTCTCCATTCTGACTCGTTACATATCCCCTGCCCTGCCGTCTAAAGTGGCATTCATCGGCTCAGGTGCGCTCCCATTCTCGTCCATCATCATGGCTTTGAAATACCTCCCCACGACCGAGTTTCACAATTTTGATGTTGACTCATCCGCTAATGCCAAGGCTACAATGCTCGTGGCAAGTGACGTGGACTTGTCGAGGCGGATGACATTCCACACTACCGATATCATGGACGTCACCTCGGATATGTTGAGAGAGTTCGAGGTGGTGTTTTTGGCAGCGTTGGTGGGCATGGAGAAAGAGGAGAAAGTTAAGGTAATCGAGCATTTACGAAAGAACATGACTAGTGGCTCGTTGTTGATGTTGAGAAGTGCGTATGGTGCACGGGCATTTCTTTATCCAGTGGTGGAAGCTTCTGATCTTCGAGGGTTTGAGATTCTTACGACGTTTCATCCTACTGATGATGTTGTCAATTCGATCGTGTTGGCTCGATTATAATGTGATTTAAACCGTTATTATATAATTATGATCCTATCACACTGAAAAAAAGAGGATCTATGTAAGCCGGTAAGAGTTTCATTGAAATAAAATTCTCAACGAATGAAAAACTTAGTAGATGAGTTGTCCACCCGAGTCATCTGTCTCTCCAAGTAGTTTTTTTCTATATCTAAATATTTGTAGTATATATTTATAATACTTTGTTATTTTCAAATAAGAATTTTACCACACTTTTCGGTATCCATTTGTCAATTCACGTCGCGTCGTGATCTGTGATACGAACGTTTGAAAAGTGGATCGTGATAACCTTACTAATATAATTATATAATTAGTGATTAATTTTTATTTAACGGGATTATTTCCATTTGATGTGGCCTCAAAAATTTTAATATGATCGATCAATATCTAAGATTCCGATTATTGTGATTATAGTCGATCGAGAGTTAAATAATTTGTTTATTACATGAATAAGTTCGGCTCGGTTTTGCTGGTTGAAATTTTTTTAGTTGGGTCAACCCGACCAACTTAAAAATAAGATTCTCAACTCAACTCTACTTTTAAGAGCATATTATTGTTTGTAACAAATGTTAGTAATGTGTCGTAACTCGTAAATGTTTGATATTTAAGTTAAACGTGACCATCATATCGTATTCGGGTCATTTATGTCACCGACCCAATTAACCTGAAAAATTTGGGTCGGTCCAAATTTTTTTTTTCCAATTCAATCCGACCTGTATACACCTCTAATGCTAATTCAGTGTTATTAAAGTTAACCAGTGTTTCTCCAAAATTATTTCGGTAATTTCAAGTCGTGCCAAATATTATAAAAAAAATATAAAATGATCACGTAAGCTGTGACACCGAATAAAGGAGGAGTACATGAATGAACCGAGACTAATCTTGAAAATATAATAGCTAAAAAAGACTTGAGATAAACTTATACTCTCTCTTTTGTTCTTCATCTAGATCGAGTGTGTGGGTAATGTTATC